TGTCTCCCTGTGTGGTAGCTTCCATTGCTGAGATACTGCCCTGGGGGGAGCCACCCCCAGGAGCATTTAGCAGCCGCACAAGCAGTTGGGGGATGGGTGCATCAGCTGGTCAGGACCTCCTCATCTGTTTTTTCAGTTGCAAATTTTTCTTAATTTTAGTGTATTTTTTTATTTTTTTAAGATTTCATTTATTTATTTGTCAGAGAGAGAGAGAACACAAACAGGGGGAGCGGCAGGCAGACGGAGAAGCAGGCTCCCTGCTGAGGAAGGAGCCCAATGCGGGACTTGATCCCAGGACCCTGAGATCATGACCCAAGCCAAAGGCAGATGCTTAACCGACTGAGCCAACCAGGCATCCCTCAGTTGTAAATTTTAAAGAGTCTCTGTTGCAAAGTGTGTCTCCTTAGGGACCTCTCTGCCCCTTCCCACCTTCCTAAGAAGCTTTGTGGCCGTGGAGGTGGGGAAGGGAGAAGTGCAGGTGGGTCCTGATGGCAGTGAGGGCACAAGGCTTTGAATACTCGCAGAATCTGCAGGACAATAGCCGGATCCTGTGGCATGAGGCTGCTCTGGTCCACACAGATGATTAGCCCCATCTGGACTTTTAGGGATATCTTGGCAGCCTCCTCGGGAGTCTGTGCCTGGGGCCTTTGCCCTGGTTAGAAGATCCCCACTCATGGGGCCTCTTCGTTCTGACTCGTGGCTTCAGCTCACCCATCAGCCCGTCTTCTGCCCCATGCTCAGGCTCCTCTATCTAGCCACTGTTCACAGTGCCGCAACACTGCCACAAATGTTTAGGAAGTGCCTCTTCCTGTCATCTCGTGGGTAAGCCCAAGGAAGCAGGCCACAGCGTCTCAGGCACCATTCTCCCAATCCAGCTGGCATTCCGGACACTGCCCTCTGGAATCTAGCAGGTCCAGTCTACGGCCATACCACCCTGAACGTGCCCGATCTCGTCTGGAATCTTGCAGGTCTGCTCATTTGGGGATTTTTGTCCCAGAGAGGGAAGGTCAAGTCCCCTGCCCCTATGACCCACCTCACGGACATTGTCTTCTCTGGATAATGGAGCAAGCTTTCTCCATTATCCGTGGGGCAGATGAGATAGACTCTCCCTTCGTTTTTCCTTTCTCTGGGGGAAATCCTCCTCTTTCCCAAGACGATACTGTTTTCCTGCTCTCACTAGGGCTATAACAGCAGAGAGAGGCAGAATCAAGCGGCTCTACCCATGAGGGAATGTAAATCAAGGGGTTTAAAAATATACAATATAGAACACCCATATTCATAGCAGAATTGCCCACAATAGCCAAAAGGCAGAAGCAACCCAATTGTCCATCAATGAATGAATGATGATAAAATTTGGTATATACCCACAATGGAATATTTTTCAGCCTTAAAAGGAAAATTCTGACACATGATACAAAGTGGATGAACCTTGAGGACATTATGCTAAGTGAGATAAGCCAGTCACAAAGCAGACAAATGCTGTCTGATTCCACTTATATGAGGTACGTAGAGTACTCAAATTCATAGAGACAGAAAGTAGAATGATGGTTGCCAGGGGCTGGGGGAGTGGCGCATGGGAGGTTAGTGTTTAATGGGTATGAAAAAGTTCTGAAGATTGCTGGCACAACTATATGAGTATACTTAATGCTATGAAATGTACACTTAAAAATTAGTGAGAAGGTAAATTTTGTGTGATGAGTATGTTACCACAATGAAAAATAAAAATAAGTGAAAAAAGTTGTGTTAGAAATGCAGATGCCTTGTCCAGGGAGAGGAACTAAAACCCTGATACATTCCTTAGATGACTTATTTCATTAGCTCAGCGCCTGGTCTTTTATAGAGAACGGGGCCCCAGAGGAGAGGAAATGTTTTCATGAAGAAAAGATGCAAGCCCCAATAGTCCCAGTTAGAACCACTATGCAGACAGAAGATATCCAGCACAGATAGGAGAAAGGGGACAATTCTATTTGGGGAGAAAGGGTTAGTGACAGGGACAGAACCTTAGTGACATGGACAAGAAAGGTAGAGTGTGGGCAAGCTGGGGAGACAAGCATCTTCTACGGGAGACTGTTGCAGGCACAGTGATCTTAATGTCAGTCTATAAAACCTGATTCAAAAGTGCTGGAGCTAGAAGTTTTAGGAAAACTTAGATTTTTTTTGAATTTTAGAAAGGCAATATGGTGCCTATTCTGTGTCTTATAGAACATTCCTGGTGGAGTCTGGCTCAGTACATTGTAAACAAGCCCATTAATATTCCTGTGGTGAAATGTATAAATATTCACACTAAGTGGGATAATAAAGACTATAAATAGTTTTGTGTTGGTCTAGGCCAGGTTTGGCTGCCAAATAAGTTTTTAAAAAATCTTTTGGTTTTCAGAGCTTTTTGGACCTGACAATGGTAGAATAGGGACTATGACCCTGTATGAATTTTGTATCATCTAAAGACTGTAAGTTAACAAAGACACACGGTGTTGGGAGGGACCAGAACAATGAGGTCCAGCTAATTCAACATTCTGATTTTATATACACGAAATGGAAGTGATTTGCCCAACGGCTGGTCATGGGCAGAGCAGACTCGGGTCTCCGACCCCCAGTCTGGCACACCCCAGAGTGCTCTAGTAGATCCACACTGACCTTTGGAGTCTGGAATTCATGAAGACCATCCTCCCTCTCCTTTATGGTTCCCCAAAGATGTGACTTGCTGCCTGTGGGAACGTCCTGCTCATCACTGAGGTTTTCTCTGACAGGAACCTGCAGAAGCCTTTGTCCTATAGGTTCATAGACTTGACTCAAGGTCTTATAAGAGACAATGCTCAGTAAAGTTCTGAGAAATTGTTGTATTTATTTGGCTACTCATCACAGGCATCAGGAGAAAGCTTTACAATTAAAGGTTCATGTGTAAGACAGCCACCAAGGAATAGAGGAATCTTGTTTGCCATTGTAGAATTGGAATTCAGAGCAAGGAAGGGAAATAATCCTTTTATTTGTGAATGATGAGCATTAACGGTCATTGAAAAATGATTTTTTCCATCCCTGATGTCTGCCTATGGGACTAATCCTGCCACAGACCTCTAGGTGGAATGAAGATGCTCTTGTGCCTTGCATTGTGCTTGGTGCATAGAAGGCATACCACAAACACTTGATGAATGAGTGAGTGAATGAGTGAATGACTATGGGGGGGTGGATGGGTTAGGGCTCTTTGTTACAGATTGTAAAATCCCAACTTAAACTGAATTAAACAAAAGTGGGAAATATTGCCTGATACAATTGAAAAGTTCAAGGGTAGGTGCCTTCAGGCATGGCTAGATCCAGGACTGCAAGTGAGTCCTGGGAATGTCTCTTTCCTTCTCACAGATCTGCTTTCCTACATGTTGCTTCCTTCTCAGGCATGTTCTCAGGGACAGGTGATGACAGAGATGGTCACCAGTGGTTCTGCACTCACATTCTGCCTGCTGAGCTTGGCCTGGGCTAGGGAACACACCACATCCCATTTCTGAACCAATTGCTGTGGCCAAAATGATGTACTAGTTCCATTGGCCAGGCCTTAACATGGTTGCCCCCTGGAGCCAGGGGGTTGAGAAGACAGAGATTGAAGTTTGGGGAAGAGTGAGTCCCCAAAGGGAAATAGAGGTGCTGGCCCTAGAAGTAGAGAGAGCCAGTGCTGAGCACCGGTGGACAACAGGCAACCCTCACAGGGATGGATGCCAAAGGGTCTGTCCATGGTATGCAAAGGACAGACAGGCTCATGTTTTAGAAGACAGTACTCACTCGGCATCAGGGAAATGCAAATCAAAACTACATGAGATACCACCTCACACCTGTCAGAATGGCTAAAATTAACAAGACAGAAAACAACAGATATTGGCAAGGTTGCAGAGAAAGGGGAATCCTCTTATGCTGTTAGTGGGAATGCAAACTGGTGCAACCACTCTGGAGAACAGTTTGGAGGTTCCTCAAAAAGTTAAAAATAGAACTACCCTATGACCCAGCAATTTCACTACTAGGTATTTACCCAAAGGATACAAAAATAGAGATTCATAGGGATACACGCACCCTTATGTCTTATGGGCCTCTGCACATTGGAGGCCAAACTATGGAAAGAGCCCAAATGTCCATTGACTGATGAATGGATAAAGAAAGTGTGGTGGTGGTGGTGGTGGTGGTGTGTGTGTGTGTGTGTGTGTGTGTGTGTATGTGTGTATACATATATGTAATGGAATATTACTCAGTCATAAAAAAGAATGAAATCCTGCCATTTGCAACAACATAGATCTAGAGAGTATAATGCTAAGTGAAATAAGTCAGTCAGAGAAAGACAAACACCATATGGTTTCACTCATATGTGGAATTTAAGAAACAAAACAGATGAACAAAGAGGGGAGAAAGAGAGAAGCAAACTGTAAAATAGACTTGAAGATTGCTGGAGGGGAGGTGGGCAGGGGTTAGGCTAGAAAGGTGGTGGGCATTAAGGAGGACACTTGTTGTGATGAGCACTGGGTGTCGTATGTAAATGATAAATCACTAAGTCCTACACCTGAAACTAATATTACACTGTATATTAACTAACTGGAATTTAAATAAAAAATGAAACCAAAAGAAGAAGAAGAAGATTGTGCTTAGAAGCAACAGAAATCAACTTGACCATATAACCATAGATAGAGATTTGTGTAACAATAGGCTTGGGAAATCATGGTGCGATACAACCCCAATGAACTGTCTCATCTGCAGTGGTGCTTACTCTCTTCCAGACAGTGTACTGCACATTTGACATTCAGTTAACTCACCTGATCTGCACAACCACCCTGTGGGTGGGTGACATTCATTATGCCCACTGTACAGATGAGGAAACAGAGTCTTTGGTTCAGAAATCCTCTCAAGGTCTCCCAGCTAGTAAGTGAAGGACAGATATTTGCATCTCTCTGACTCCCTAGCTTGGGCATTTCTTCTGCCCATCTGCACTGCCCTCAGATCTGCTTCTCTCCATGTCGCTTCCTTCTCAGGCAGGCTCTCCATACATCCTGACAAAGATGGCCTCCAGCAGGCACAGAGCCTGCCAGCTGAGCAATCCTCACAGAGAAAGCCATTCATAGATGCACCAGGATGTGGCCTGAGAAGGTGAAATGTGGCCACGGGACACTGTGGTGAGCATGGTAGGCCCCGGAAAGTAATTCCTGAGTTGACTGTACAAAGTAGAGCCCTATGCCTTGGGGACATGAGCTTCCATCCAAAAAGGGAGGCAACCTTACAGTGTCTCCTCAGACCTTTAACAGCTTAAGGGGGAGAGAGCTCCTCAGAGTCAGACCTCAATGTCATAGGAACATTACCACCTTTCTTTTTATTCTTTATCTGGGAATGACTGGGAGGGAGAGGCAGACCGGGTCATTTGAAGGGAGAAGAGAGAGTTTGGAGGAGCGGGGCAGAGGTGTAGAGAGCCAGGAATGGTATTTGAGAGACAACATTCCTTTGGATCCTGAGGGGTGAGAAATGCGTACTGTCCTCATTCCCTCCTGGTCCAACTCCGTTGTCCCATCATCTGCGTGCTGGAGGCAAGGGCCTCCGTAGGGACAGTCCTGAGATTATTCTCAACCTCATTTTCTTGTCTTCCCTTGGTGCTACAAGGCTGCAGGATTTCGAGACCATAGGGATGGACCCTGAATTTTTCCATAAATCTGCTTAGTTTAGGAACTATTTTTATTCTCCATATCTTTGAGGCTTTGAGCACGTAATAAAGCAGCATAATTTAAAAAGTGTGTGAGTACTCTGAGCACATAAATTTAAGTTTTAAAGTAAAAGTAGAAAGAAAATGAGGGCATTGAGCTGAAGAAGCAAATATGAGAAGTAGGAAGGGAGAGAGATTTTATCCATGCTGATTTCTAAATGTGGCCGGTAGGTTTAGCTCAAAGCTTCCCAGTAGGCTGAGTAAAAAGAGAAATATGTTTACAAATTCTTTTCCTCATAAAGACAAATATACCAATTTTGAAAAGTATACTTTTTTCTTCACATAAAAAAAGATTCACCATAGGGGGCATTTTCTAGAAAAAATGTGGGCAGCAGCCCCCTCAACAATGTGACCACCTATGCAGATTTCTGTCCTGTACCCCTTCAATAAAAGGGGAGAGCAAAACATAAAGCTTAAGTGATATCAACATCACAGTTCCTGGAGTAGGCAGTACTACATATGCCCAAATATAAAGCAAACAGGAAAATAAAAGAACCTCTCATTTGCTCAATTAGAAGACCCCTCCGAAAATGCTTTTTTGGGCCATTTGAATGTATAAACTCTTAGGGATGTAGATAAAATAGTTTGCTTATACCTTTTCATTTCATAATTTAATTATACACATTTAAAATAACATATTATGCAAAGTAATATATTTAGAAATATTACACTTTTCCATTTAGATTTCAAGAAACTATAGTATTCTAGCTATGTTCTTGTATGGTGCATACCCGTGTCTCCATCATTGGGGTCAGCTCTAGAGTTCATCTTACTTGGGCTCCAGAGACTAATGACTTCACTTTCAGCTAATGGTTGTTGAGAGGTGTTACTTTTTAAACTTGTGTACAATGTCCCTACTGGAAATCTTATCCCAAGCCCCAAATACCCATTTGTATGGTATTAGAGCAGCGTCCCCACCCCACTCCATTTATCTGATGGGGCGCGTTTGGGATTGCCTCTTCACAAAGACTTATTGTATAGATTTTTAAATGATCTTTAAAGGATGTCAAACACTTGCAACCAGAAGGTCATTGCTTTGGGAGTGGTGATTAAATTCCATTGACCCTTTATTCCTTATTTAAACAGGTGAGTGACTTCTCTTAGCCTCTAAAACCAGACTTGGTTGAAGTCATTTCCTGCCAATGTATCCTCCCCAAACAGTACTTTGTGGTTCGAAACGATGTAATTAATAGAACGCCCTGTAACCCAAGACTCTTTTATGGGGCAGGACTATGTCAAGGCATTTGTGATGGCTGAGTGCTTGATCTGACCATAACATAGCCCACCCTGAAACCCACCCTGGAAATGCCCCATGACTTAGAAAGAGCGCTCCCCTGGGAAACAGAGTCAACCCTGTTTTGCTAAGTGTAGGATCTTGAGCAGGTCACTTAAATTCTGAGGCCTTGGTTTTCTTACAGGTGAAATGAGGGGTGTAGGCTGGATCAGACAGGGGTTTGAGGGGGTCATAAGGGGAACCATAGGGACGGCTCCATATATATCCCAGGGTGGCTCTGGTGCCTTCCCCTCATAGGCAAGTCAACAGAGTTATTCTGCTTTGGTCTATTTTATATAAAGGGATTCCAGGTAAAATTTCCTTTGAAGTAAAGACCCCTTTTTTTAATTAAAAAAAAAAAAGGAGTAGGCCATTATAGAGGCCTGTCCGCTCTGAAGTTCTCTGACTTCAAAGCCATCAGGGGTCATAGTTAAATCTTCCCACTGATGGCTAATGAAGATATGATGTGCCTGGGGAAGGGGGGACAGACACTGCCTGCTAGTTGGTGAGCATAAGCCATCTGGCAACACAGACATAGACAACCCACTATAACAACCCACTTAGCTGGGACCTAGAAAACCTGCTTATAATTTTATGAGAAGCAAATGACAAGGCAACAGTGGTTCTCAAGCTTGGCAGCATATTGGAATCACCTGGGAGTTTTTGAAAATTCCGATGTCTGTGCCACACCCCATGCTAATTAAGTCAAATGCTAGAGGAGGAACCCAAGCTTTGGTTATTTGTGTCTCCCAGTGTGAGTCTAATATGTGGTAAAGTTTAAGAATATACAGCACTGGTACAGTCACTATGGAAAACTGTACAGTGGTTCCTCCAAAGATTAAACATGGGATTACCATATAATCCAGTGATTCCACTCAATCCAAAAGAATTAAAAGCAGAATCTTGAAGAGATATTTGCACACCCGTGTTTATAGCAGCATTACTCACTATAGCCAAAAGGTAGAAGCAAGCCAAGTGTCCGCTGATGGGTGAGTGAATAAACAAGATATGATATATACATACAGTGGAATATTATACATTCTTAAAAAGGAAGGAGATTCTGACACATGATACAACATGGTTGAACCTTGAAGACATTAGGCTAAGTGAAATAAGCCAGTCACAAAAAGACAAATACTTATGATTCTACTTAAATGAGGAATCTGGAGTAGTCAAATTCATATACAGAAAATAGAGTGGTGGTTGCCAGGGGCTGGGGGGAGGTGACGGTGGAGAGTTGCTATTTAATGAGTTTAGAGTTTCAGTTTTGTGAGATGAAAAGAGTTCTGGAGGTTGGTTGCACAACAATGTGAATATACTTAACACTACCTAAATGGACACTTAAGAATGGTTAAGACAGTAAATTTTATGCTATGTATATTTTGCCACCATTAAATATAAAAAGAAAAAGTGGCATCATGTAATGACTTGCTACTCCAAGTGTGATCTGTGAGCTCCCAGCATGGGCATCTTCTTAGGAGCTGGTTAGGAATGCAGCACCTTGGGCCCCACCCAGGTCTTCTGCATCAGAACCCACATTTTTAAACAAGACCCCCCCCCCCGCAGGTGGTCCATGTGCACATTAAACTTTGAGAAGTGCTAGTTGTGATGGACAGAACATTTGACCAGGTTGGAAGACATGGTGGACTCAGTCATTTGCTACCCAGCATCCACCTCCTTTCCCTACTTCCTCCAGAACCTGGCGTTCTCTGAAAGGCCATATGTCCAGCGGGCTGACCTCATCTGCATCCCCACGCAAACCACTCCCCTGGCCAGTGACTGGTTTCCGGGTGGGCATGCTGCCTGGTTCTGGCCAATGCAACTAAGGCAAGTTCTACTGAAGAGGTTCTGGGAACACCCGAGAAGAAATGGCTTGTCCTTCCTTTTGGAAGTTTTCATGTCTGGACGGGACCCAAGCAAATTCTGTATGCATTTTGGGACCTTGGACGCAACTGGCCTGGTTCTTCACACACACACACACACACACACACACACACACACACACACACACACACACACACAGACGCTGACTGACAAGATCCTGGGGTCCACCTCACTGATAGATTTATGATTATGTGAGATTAGAAAAGTATTTTTTAAGACCATTTGAATCAGGTTTTCTGTTACTTTTAGCCAAGGGTTTCTCACCCTTGAACCTACCAACGTGTGGGACCGGGTAATTCTTTGTTGTGGAAGGGCTGTTGTGTGCATTACAGGACGTTAGGCAGCAACCCTGACCTCTACCCTTAGATGCCAATAGCTCTTCTCCCTCAGTTTTGACAACCCAAAGTGTCTCCAGACAGTTTGCCAATTTGGGGTTTGGCGGAGGGGGGGTACAATTTGCCCCCAGTTGAGAACCACTGCCTAAGACAAAGGCATCCTAATGAATGTGAAGGCCTCTATTCAGTGGATCCTCAGGAGGATAAAAATTCCTGCTGCCTATGCTCCAGAGTGTTGCAAGGATCAAAATGAGATCAGTTGTGTGAGAAAAGCAAATACACACAAGGTGTTGCTAATCATTACCTGTCTTTGATGCTGCTGGGCTGCATTGATAGCGATGTTGTAGTTTCCATTTATTCTTTTAATGGTCAGAGATGTTTAACTTAACAGATGGCCAACGTGGATAGTGAATGGAATTTTCCCCGACAAAGCTGGTGAAAGAGCTCTGGGGTTCTTCCTCCTGCTCAGAAACACTGATCTCCTACAGCCCAGTCCAGAGCTGGACCCCCAATGCCGACTCCTCGTCCCAGGAGGTGATGGGGGCTGCAGAGCTCACTTTTTAGCGTATTTTCACAGATTAAGAGAGATCTTCATATTTAGCTGCTGGAGAGATGGAGACCCCTCCCCCATAATAGTGTATTCACAGCTCACACATCTGTGTATTTGAGACCCGCAGTATTGGGGCCCAGTCTTGCCTTGTGCTCCCCTTCCTCGAACCAGCTGGCACATCAAGGTCTCTTAGATGCCTCCTAACTCCTACAGTCAGTGCCTTCAGATTCATCACTTCTTGGAGAGTGTGTGTCCCTAAGTGTCACAGAATGTCTCCTGTGGCAGGAAGCCTTATGAGGGGAGCTAGACTCTAGGTGTGGAGAACTGGGAGCGTGGGAACAAGTGAGGGGGCCAGCGCTGGAGATATCTGAAAGCAATGGATGGATCGGTCATTTCCGTCGCCAAGTGCTTGCCCTTTGCCTGCCTGGGGCTGGGGTGGGAAGCAAAGGGCGTTAGGAGGCAGCTGTGGCCCTCACAATCTACTGGGGAATATATGGTGGACATTGGGTTGCTCTCCTGACCTTGTCCCATATCATGGTATGGAGTAACTACCCCCACTAACATGGCAACTACCCTGACTTTGTGCCGCATCCTCACCCCTGCAGCCTGGGTGCTCTGTAGGTCACTGACTTGCCTTCTGAACCAGAGGTAGGACACATATCTGGTCTTGACATATGATGACTTGGACTGGAGAAGGCATTCCTTGGCAGCTTCTAGGGAAAAACAGTTTTCTTTTGAGGGAGGAGGGCGTGCCTTGCAAAAGTGATGCCAGGTCTGGCCACAGCCCAGTTATTTCCACGAAAGAGTCAAGCTGAGGATTGAGCCCATATATAAAGGAAGGCCAAGCCAAGAGAGTTGCAGGGAACTCAAGCCAGAGCTTCCTCAAGCATGTGATCCACCTCCGGACTTCTTGGTGGCAGCTGTTAATAAGACCTTCTTACTATGTAAGCCAGTTTGAACTGGATTTTTCTGTTCCTTGAATTACAAACTGTCCAAACTGACCCAGAGTTTGGTACCAAGAAGGGGATGCTACAATAAGCAAACCTCAAATGTGGATTGGCTGAGAAGAGGTATTCACATGAAGAGCAGCAGGATGTCCCCTTGAACTAGGAAGATGCTGATCCCGGGCTAGCAAAATGGCTGGTTCTCCCTGTTTAACCCTGGGATACAGACCCTATGTGTAGGGAGATAGGACATTTGGAGAGATCTGGTGGGAAATACTCAGGATGTTGGCTACCTCTGGCAGTCTTTGTTAAGATCCTAGGAGACTTGTGGTACCTGGGTGGCCCAGTCGGTTAAGCGTCTGCCTCCAGCTCAGGTCACGATCCCAGGGTCCTGGGATCGAGCCCTGCGTTGGGCTCCCTGCTCAGCAGGGAGCCTGCTTCTCCCTCTCCCTCTGCTCCTTCCGGCCCTCCTCGTGCTCTCTCTCAAATAAATTAATAAAATCTTTAAACAAAAAAAAAAAAGGTCCTAGGAGACTCAAATTTAGGAGGAGGGTAGCCCATTTGAAAATGGGGAGGAATAAAAACACAGCTTTGCTGAGAGAGGGCCTTTCTGCCTGTGGCATGCCAGCTGAAGTGACTGGACTTTGATAAGCAAGCCCTGCTGGGTCAGAAAAGCTGATGTAACTGGCTAAAGTTAGAACCCAGGCAGCAAATCAGGTGGCTTAGCAAGAGAAAAGATCAGGGCCCTGGAAAAACAGTGTCCCCAGGTCCCAGGTCTTTATGGAGTGTCTTGTCTTAGGTACCTCAAGCTTGATGAAGGGGACAGCTCATTCACTGAGAACATGGAGCTAGGATACAGCTGGGGGGCAGGTAGCCGACGTGGGGTACCTTCGCGTCAGAGGTGAAGGAAGATGCCACTAATCTGGGGAGCAGGGCAGTGGGCAAGGCACAGAGCCCTGTTGCCAGCTCAAGGATTCTGACCTGAGACCAAATCCAGCTTGAACTACCAGCCCAAAGACTTGAATAGAAGAAATCCAGGATATTCTTAAGGATGCTGACTTGCCAAAGAAAGGAGCCAACCAATGCCTGAAATTGCCCATTCCTTGGGGCAACCCCTGAACTTGTACCAACCAGAAGTGTGTTGTTAAAGCAATGACTTTCCTTGAAAGACACACGCCCACTCAAATTTTGGCAAGGCAGCAGACGGGCTAGCTACACCCAAACGCAGAGCTGGGGGCCACCATCTCGGCTGACTAAGGCACTTGCTTTACCACCATGGCAAGGAATCTCCAGTATTTCCTCAAGACTGCATGTACTGTTGGCCAATGACACCTGAATGTGTTTCCCATGGTCCCCTTCTCCAAATGGAGAATTCCCCTTCTGGAAATTCTTATTGCAGATAAACTGGGGTTTTTCCCCCTCACTATTGACTATGTTGATGGTGGTGAAGTTCAGAATTCAGTTCATAAGTTATCATCCCATGAGTTGCTACTTCCAGACATGATGGAGAATATGATGCATCTTCCAGAAAATATGAACTTGAATCTGAATCCAGTAACTGGATGAGTCATAGGGCTTCACCCATTGGGGGAGGAGGTGAGTCTACTTTAGCCAAGTGTGGGTATTTCTGATGATTATGTAGTGGAAGAAGAATGTATAGACATTGGGTCACCAAAGGGGTGGACGATAGTGGGGTATTATGGTTACTGTTTAACACTCAGCTCACCTTCTCCGGATAATAATCCTGATTTTGTTCAGGTAACTATGCTTGATCTCACAGCTTATATGGTTTGAAGAAAGCTAACTCCCCTCCCAGATATAGGACTGGAGTGTACTGCCAACACTAAGCTCACACTGGTAACCCTATGCAGACCTTCAGGACTGGATGAGGCTCTGCTTGGAATGCCTCAGAGACACGTTCTTTCTCTTCCTTTCTTCTTCTGGGGCTCGGTGTTGGGAAATATGAGTCCTAAAGCAGCCATTTCCCTGCCATGAGGGGAACCAATCGAGACCGAAGCCAACACAAGGAGGAAAAGTTGAAAGAATCAGAGAAAATGGAGTTGTGGCCTTGACTGCACCATACCCATCCTTACCCTTGGGCTTTTGAGTTTTATAATGTCTTCTTTGATAGTTGATCCAGTTGAAGAGTTTTCTGTTGTGTCACTAAACAACCAACTATTACAGAGTGTGGTAAATGCTAAAATAAAAATATGAAAAAGTGTTGGTAGTAAAGAGAGAAGGTGGGTTAATTAGCTAAGAGGAGCAATGATTTCTTTTTTTTCCCTTTAAGACAACTTTATTGAGAAATCTTGGACTTACAGAAACTGTTTATATTAAGGTGCGCAATTTGATTGGCATACACACACTGAAAAGATCACCATGATCAAGCTAAACAACTGATCCGTCAGTTCTTTATAGGTATCTTTTAGTGTATGTGTGTGTACTAAGATGTAATTTAAGATCTACCCTCTTAGAAGTCTTCAAGTATACAATATATTATTGTTAACTATTATTACCGTGCTGTATACACAGATGTCCAGAATTTATTCATTCCACGTAACTAAACCTTTGCACCTTCTGACCAACAACATATCCCCATCTCTCCAACCACAATTCTGCTCCCAAGAAGCAGTGTTTCTTTAAGCACTGACAGCAGGAAGAGTAGCAGAGAGGAACCCATCACAGTTCTTAGCATTAAACACACCCCTTTGGTGGAATTTACTAGACGCATCCAGGGCCATCATTGTACATTTCTCAGTCCATCCAGGCGGGAATGGATGTGTTGAGGTCTTCAGGGCAGGGCGCTGCCCCTGACATCTCAAAGTCCTCAATAAATATTGAATGGTGGGAGGAAGCCTGCCATCTGTTGCCCCCATCCCTCAGCAGGGCAGTCCCCCAGTGTCCTCTCTCCCTGTGAGCAGCCAGCCACCTCCTAACCCTGTTCTCCCACCGCTGTTACAGAAGATGGATCACATGTCTCCCAGGCTGAGAGCCTTCCTCTCTGAACCCATTGGAGAAAAGGATGTTGCCTGGGTGGACGGGATCAGCCGTGAGCTTGCAATCAATTTGGTCACCAAAGGTTTCAACAAGGTAACTCATTTTTTTCTTATTGCCCCAACTTCACTCCCCGACCTCTCTTCCCCTAGCCCTGCCAGATGGCGGCCACTGCTATGTGTCCCTGCAAGGGGCCATCACAGAGCAAAGCCACCACTTGGCAGAGCGCCACTTGCTTCAGCGTCACTGACCCCTCATGTTTGGGCAGCCTCGAGGGCCAGTAGATGATGGGCAAATTGAATGGCTTTGGCTCAGAGCAGCTGGGCAGGGCATGATTCACTTGGTGTTCAAACCCCCATGCGTCAACAGAAGTGAGCCAGCCGCCCGAGTCTGGGGCTGCGCTGTCAGGATGGATGATTTGCACATACTTCCCACCTCCATGAAAGACTCGTGGGGTCTCGCCTGCCTGACTAGGGCACCAGCTTGGCAATGGCAGGTGGAGTAACAGCAGCCTGGGGTCTATGCCAGAGTAAGAGGATATGAGTTGTTCTAAGATGTCACTCACAGCCCAAGAATGGCCTCGAGGGTACCCAGTGGAATCGGAACACTCTTTTCTATGTAATTATTTGTTTTTATGGTGCTCTTAAAGCTGCTTGGAACTTTAGGGAGAATGGGAGACGATCCCGAGGAGAACCCAAAGAGGGTGAGCACATACAGAGGTGGATGGGAATTCACGTGGAGCATTGTGCGCTCAGTTGAGAGATTTTGCTCACAGCTACTGCTGCTCATTCCCTTGAGTTTCTAATGTCAGTCTATACCACTGCGCAGGAAGATGAGCAGAAACGCCTGACAAAGCTGGGAACTGTTGCACACACGGCTGATAATCAGTTTGGTGTGCACCTGCACCATGCATGCTGTTTCTAGGGGGCCTTGAACTAGTGGGCCTCTGCTTTTCTGGTCAACACGCTGCTTATACCAGTTGTGAAATATTCTGAATATCACCCCAATCTACTGGCGCATTTAATATCCACTAGGTGGTATTGCCAGGAAGCTGGAGCTCCACCATTGAGGTGGATTGGATTCTTTCCTCCCAGATAAAGGAGATGGGACCCTTCCCAAGGAAGTAGTGAAGTAAGCAAAGTCTGCTTAGGGAAGACATTTTAAATTAAAAATTCCTTTTTGAAAGAAATGATTGTCCCTTTTCTTTTCTATTGTGGTGTAATGCACCAACATTGATATGAAGGGTTCAGCTCAGTGAATTTTTACACACACACACACACACACACACACACACACGCACACACTCACGGAGGCACCCCCCAGATTCAGTGATTGGATACCTCCAGAATGCCCGATGATCCCCTTGTGTCTCTCCCCCATCAATGTCATCCCCCACTCTCAGATATACCCATTATTTTCGCTTCTACCCCCTTTGATTTAATGGGTTGTGGGTTTTTTTGCTGTTGTTCAGCCAGACTCAGCATTTTGAAAATATTTTTATTCACATACAGTGAATTTCACCTTTTTTAGTACACAGTTCTGCAAGGTTTAACAAATGCATGCAGTCATGAAGCCACTACAATCAAGACACAGAACAATCCCAACACTTCAAAATGTTCCTCTGTGCCCTTCATATTCCCCACCCTCAGCCCCCAACAAACCACTGATTTATTTTCTGTCCCTATAGTTTTGTCTTTTCCAGCCTGTGTTTTAAATGAGGATTACAGGTGGGGCAATAGGCATGTTTAAGATAAAGGAATGAATGAATAATGGGTAAATTTCAGGCATCCCAGAACTTGCTGCACAGAATCAGGGCTGTAGGGAAGAAGAAACCATTTGCCTGGGTGTGGCCAGGACCCTCTTAGGCTCATGACCTCCTGGTGAGCACAGTGACCAACACACCACTTCCAGGCCCTACTCATTCCTAGGGTCACTAATTCCAAACACTAACGTAGGGGATTTCACCTTTCTCCGTTGCTTTGAGCCCCTCACCTACCTGCAAACGAGATGAGGGTCGCTATCTCCACTTCACAAAGGAGAGGACAGAGGCTCCTGGGAGTGAGTGCCTTGATCAAGGTCCTGAGTGAGGACAAAAATGGCGAGGGATTGTGTTGTCACCAGCCGCACAGGAAGATCTGGGTCCCAGGGGTTACCACGGCGGGGAGAGGGCTTACCCTGGGATTCGGGGGTGAGACTCTGTTTCAGGGCTGGGCCTGTAAAAGGATCCAGGAGATCGGATGTGGCACCTACAAAGGTGAACAGGTGCTTCTGGGTGAGGACCGGTCAGTGGCTAGGGCCAGCAGGAAGAGCCTCCAGGGCAGGCAGATCCTACAGGGAAGGGCTTTCAGATTTCGCATATATTTTATTATTATTTATTATTATTTTTAGCATATTTTTAGGCTTTTATTTTTAGAGCAGTTTTAGGTTCACAGCAAAATTAAGCAGAAGATGCAGAGATTTCTCATGTACCCCCTCCCCCCACCACATGTACATCCTCTCTCATGAGCCGCACCCCTACCAGAGTGGTACATCTGTAACCATCAAAGAACTTAACGTTGGCACACTGTAATCACCCAGGGTTCATAGCTTATTTTAGGGTTCACTCGCAGTTTCTATAGGTTTGGGCAAATGTATAAGGACACATATCCCCCATTATAGTAATGTACAGAGCTGTTTCACCGCCCTAGAATCCTCTGAGCTCCTGGATTTTTATACCCTGGCTGCAAGAGACCTTAGGGAGGGTACCTGCCTGGGTCTCATGCTATCCTTTGCTGGCCTCTCCTGGGGTCTAGTTGTCCCCTCCCCCAGCTATGCCATGACTTTTAAAACTATTGATTCTTCTATGGATTCACCCAAGTCTCTTCAGGACTTTGACAGTCAAAAATTTCGCTGAATTCTCTCTGAGGTATTTTGTGCCCGCTCTTCTCCCAGGCGGTCAGCCTTGGCAGATCTAGATCTCTGCTGTCGGATACAGTGGCCACTGGCCATTTGTACCTGCAGAGCACATGTCTGAATAATGCTTTAACACTATGCATATAAAGTACACACCATGATTTTATTTTAAAGATTTAGAATTTTAAAGTACCCCACCCAATGCAAAGTATCTCATCAATAGTTTTTTATTGATTACACTTTGAAATGATATTTGTGACATATGGGAGAAAATGAAGCATATTATCAGAACTAATTTCACCTGTTTCATCCCCCCCACCTTTTTCCTGTGGCTACTAGAAAATTAAAAATTGTATATGTGGCTGGCTCACATTAAATTTCTACTGAACAGGGCGCCTGGGTGGCTCGGTTGGTTGAGCGACTGCCTTCGGCTCAGGTCATGATCCCAGGGTCCTGAGATCGAGTCCCGCATCGGGCTCCCTGCTCAGCGGGGAGTCTGCTTCTCCCTCTGACCCTCCCCCCTCTCATGTGCTCTCTCTCTCTCTCTCTCTCATTCTCGCTCTCTCAAATGAATAAATAAATAAAATCTTTAAAAAAAATTTCTACTGAACAGTGCTGGTCTAGATTTAACAGCAGAAGGGCCGAAAGGGACAAAGGAATGACCGGGAAGGGAAAATATGTTGGTGCACAAGACGCTCAAGAGGCTTTCGATGGCCTGGCTCTAGCTCTGTCTTATATTTCCCACCCCCACCCCCTCCATACCCAAGCCCCACTGTCCATGAATCACAAACACAGACGGGACCACCTGCCCGCAGGCCTCTCTTGAAATGAACATTCCCCCACTTCAGGACCCCATTCACAGTGGACCTTCTCTGGGAAGAATGCCTTCCTTCTGCCCGCCTACCCCAGCCTAATAAGCTTGTGCTTCTGAACACTGAGTATTCAGTAGGACCCCTTGCTGTGACATCTGTACTGTTAACTATTCTTTCCACACATGGCCTGAGTACCCACCCTCATTATGCTAGAGAGGCACAGCTTGCCTTTGGGGCTCTTCCACGTCTCCTGTGAAGCACAGGAGGGTTCTACAATCTTTGTACTCCTCTTCTCCCTGTGAAAACACTGCCCAGGGATGAGGGAATTTCCAGGCACTCAGTAAATTCAGGGACTTTGCACAGTGCCCTATGGGGCGGGTGCATTACTTGGGGGATAACCCTGAAGTTATCCAACAGTGAGGAAGTAAGTTTACCAGCCCAGAGAATCTGGTTTGGCTCAATGTTCTTTGAAGACACTATAAAGTCCTGTCCTTGAGCCTGAATCTTCCTCCGGAAAGATACTTGGAAGATCAGTAAGGGATATATGTATGGGTGCCCGCCTGCTCCCTAAGGCTCTCCTAACAGCAGAACTTGTGCATGATGTTTGCTACATGTCAGGCTCTGTCCTCAGTGCATTATTTATATCTCATCAAAGCATCAGAAAATCCTATAAGGTATACTATTTCACCTTTGTTTTACCAATGGGGAAACAGAGGCACAGAGCGTGACCTGCTCAAAGTCACTCGGGCTTAGAGAGGTGAAATTTGCATCTGGACAGACAGTCTCTGGGGGTGGGGGGTAGTCATGCAGACCCCCCCCCCCACTGCCTGATGTCTGGGCCCTGCAAGGAGTCAGTCGTGGAAGTTTGGGGTTACCCTGCATAGGGTTGCCAGATAAAATACAAGGACCTGCTCCATTAAATCTGAATTTTAGTCAAACAAATAATTTTTTAGTGTAAGTATATCCCAGGGAGGCATGGAGAAGGAAGAAGAGGCAAGCCCTGCATTGGATCAAGCATTCGCACTAAGACAAGGAGTTTTAAACCAGAAATGACCGAGAGGTACCGGATTTTCAAGATTGTCGCTGGCTACCAGTGGCCGCGAAGGCTGAAGAGCCAGAATCCGGTTAGAGAAAAAGAGAGTTGTTGATCCCCCAAAGAAGTCTTGTAGCCACGTAAATGCATTCCCTCTAGGCTCCAAGGAGCCGGCATTGCAGGCAAAGGTGAGAGAGAAGCCTGAGAATCAGTGAGGGCCAAGACCGTGGATGTGTTTGCAAAGGTCAGGTGACAGAAGGTACACTTGTGGGGAGTATTGCATAACCTGCAGGGTGTAAAATCACTATGTTGTACACCTGAAACAAACGTGTGTCAACTTTGCTCAAATAAAAAAAAACAGTTAACGAAAGAAAAGAAAAGGCCAGGTGTCACAGTGAAGATGGAAGATTTTCATTGGCATGGACTAGGACCAGCCACCTAGCATGAAATGAAGATATGAGGCCCCTTGTTCCCCTATCCCGAGGAATTCAAGATGGCCGCAGCAAAGCATTAAACCAAGGGGGGGGGGCCTCTGTCCAAGATGGTGGGACTAGGCCATGGCTGCTCAACGTCCCCGTGTCTCTGCGTCACCCTCCCCGCAGCCAGATTTTTGTGAGCTTTGGTCACTTTCTGGAGCCAGTGGAGAAACAGAACAGACTTTGGGCAGGGCGGGGATGGGGACCATGACGATGGCTAACTTTTCCTCCCCACCCCTGGAGGGTGGCAGAGTGAGTGGACGAGGAATAGTCAGTGGCAACTTGGTTCCAGAGGCCACGAGAAGAGGCCCTTCTTCCTGCAGCGTTCCTGGAAAATTTGCCTGTGGTCCTACATGGCATGTGTTCCCTGGCTTCCCAGCTGCTGAGGCTGGAGGGGATACGGAGGCTCTGATCACCCGACCAGCTGATGCCAACAGCGGGGCCTCCAAAAGGGCAGAGGCCTCCATAGGTGTGAGGCCAGATGTGGACAGTCAGGATGGGCAAACATGGGGCTCAGGAAAACCTCTTCTGTTCTCAGTGATTCCATCTGGAGAATGGGACGGGGTTAAAACGTGCCAGGGATCTGGAGCCCATCAAAGGTCCTCAAGCGCCATTACTATTATCATTATTATTACTATTATTTATCATCTTCCCTAATGTTCTTTCTCCCTGGACAGAGCTCCTTGTTCCTTGATCCTGTCATCCACCTCTGCACCCCACCCCCCACACCCACTGCAGCACCTGGCTCAATTAACATTCAATAGATGTTCATTTTTTTTTAAATGTTGAATTAAAAGACATCTCCATAAAATCACCACCGAAAAAACAAGGATATGAGATCGTTCTAAGCAATAATATGGCTTTTCTAAAAAGATGATTCAAGTAACAGTTGAAAATGACCATGACATCCTGGCTGTTTTTTTAATCTTCTCAACAACCAGACCATGACTAAAAATAAACCCCAAGCTCCAACAGCTTGGGTACATTTTACAACTGCAATTCAGCTTTTATTTAATTTCTTTAAAAAAAAAATGTTCCCTTTGGTTCAGATGAAGTTTGCTTTGTTTTATGTAACTGAAAGTAAATAGACAGCAGCAGGTTTTCCTGGAGAAGGCCCAGGACGGCAGGCATGGACACTGGTTCTCGTTCATTCCAGGCTGGAGAGCCCCCAAACCAGCAGCGAATGAAGGGCGTTTATGACCTTAAATCTCCAGGCTTCACCATTGAGCGGCTCAGTCAATTTGTGGCCACTTGGTCTTGGGCGTCCCTTTCTCCATGTAGTCCTCGCTCCTTGTCAATAATCATGTGATAAAATTATAAAGAGATTAGGGAAAGTTGTAGAATAGTAGTTAGAAAATGAGAGAATGCCGAAGAGCTATCAGTCCTGGTGTACTTAGTATTAATTATGTGCATTTTTCATGCGCACAGACTTTTCAGAAGGGAAGGATGGGCAAGGTTTATCGTGTTTTACATTCTGTGCTCCTCCCACAGGCTAAGCATTCCAGGACAAATAAGGAATTTGCATTTTCCTGATGTTTTCACACTGAATCTACTTAATTCAGTTTGCAAGGTGGGGCAGGGCATGTTGTGAGCCTTCAGGCAATGCAGAAACTGAGACCCTGTTTCTTGGGGTCCTCACTTCAGGTTAAGTGAGTTGCCTGAGGTCACACAGCTGGTTTGCAAGAACAGATTGGTGTTAAGATGCCCTTCATCTACCAGTCCCGCGTGCAGTGGTTCTTGGTCAAAGGAGCTTTTGTGGCAATGTCTGGAGGGGACATGTGGCAATGTCTGGAGGCACTTATGACTGTCACAATTTGGGGGGCTGGGGGACTGCTCCTGACATCTAGTGGGTAGAGACTGGGGATGGTGCTAAACTTGCTGCAATGCACAGGACAGTCCCCAACCCACCCCAACAGCACAAAATTATCCACAATGTCAACAGCCAAGAGAGTTAGAAACTCTGCAAGATGGATTGAGAAAGTGATGGGGTGGGGAGCATTTCTGATTCTTCGTTATGTGCGCATGCATGTGTGCATGTGTGCGTGTGTCTGTGTTAAAAAGAAATACTAGGGGCACCTGGCTGGCTCAGTTGGTGGAGCGTGCAACTCTTAATCTTGGGATTGTAAGTTTGAGCTCCACGTTGGATGGAGAGATTACTTAAAATCTTAAAAAGAGAGAGAGAGAGAGAAATACTAGATCAGAGGCCAGAAGGGAGTATGCTAGGCTCTTGCTACTCAAAATGTCCCTGGACCAGCATCAGCTGGGGACATGTTGGAAATGCAGACTTTCAGGCCCCCCTCCAGACTTAATGAGTCAGACCTCCCTTTTAACAAGGTCCCAGGTGATTCATGTGCTCATTAAAGTTGAGAAAGGCAGGTTCTGGTTTACCCCAGGCTGAACATTCCCCCAAACCCGACCCGAGAGATGTGCATTTCACTTGGCCTCACATCTCACCAAGGGCCGGTCCCAGAATCCACATCGCCCAGGTGCCATCATTGTCCCTCAAACCAGACCTGGGCCCCTTCCTTCGATTTTCACGAGGGTCCTGGTGTTGGATAAGAGCACCTCTGGGTTGGTTTATTATAACCTTTCCCGTTTTTCTCCCTGCCTCTCCCCCGCCCCACAGGCCTACATCCTGTTGGGACAGTTCCTTCTGATGCACAAGAACGAAGCAGAGTTTCAGAAGTGGCTCATCTGTTGTTGTGGTGCCACCGAGTGTGAGGCCCAGGAGAGTTCTCATTGTCTGAAGGAGTGGTGCTCCTGCTTCCTATAGACACACACCTCCTGGCTCTGATGCCTGGGTAAACAGCGCACTCTGTACTGGCACCCAGGCTTGGAGTCATTATTTTTGTGTTTAACTTGAAGGATACACGTTCATTATACAAAGTCATGCATGAATATAAAAGAGGACAGACAAAAGACAAATGATCCCCAAATTCGCCCACACAGAAACCACTGTCATTCACCTCCCATGAACATCATGCCAAGTATCTCAGCATAAATTTATATAAAAGAATCTTTTCTTCTAAGGTGGGGATTAAGTTTTAAGCCAGTGTATTGGTTATCTATTGCTGCATGGCCCATGAACCCAAAGCATAGCGGCTTCAAACAAACAATTTTACCTCACACAGTTTCTTAGGGTCAGGAACTGAGAGTGGCTTAGCTGGGTGATTCTGTCTCTGGGTCTCCCATGAGGTTGCAAACTGGAAGCTGGGCAGCAGTCATCTGAAGGTTTGACTGGGGCTGGAGGCTCCACTTCAAGGCGTTGCACTCATGTAGCTGTTGACTGGAGGCCTCAGCTGCTCTTTACGTGGGCCTCTCCGTAGGGCTACACATGGCATGGCATCTAGCTTCCCCCAAAGTGGCTGACCCAAGAGGGAGTAAGAGAGCAAGCAGGAAGCCACAGTGCCTTTTACGAACCAGTCTCTGACTCACACTGTAAAACTTCTGCCTTCTATTTTTAGAAGCAAGTCATTAAGTCCTCAAGAGAAAAGAACTAAGCTTCCTTGAAACAGCAACTAATATGGCAGACCTATTTTTAAAAGCATCATAGTCAGATTTCTGAGGTATAAGTTATATTCAGTAAAACTTGCCCTTTTTAGGTATAGTAGTTCTATGACTTCTGACAAATGCATTGTCTTATGACCACCTCCAGAATCAAGACAGAGAACACTTTCAATGCCCCAAAGAGTTCTCTAATGCCCTCCTGTATTCATCCCGGTGCCCCTCCCCAGCCTTTGCCAACCAATGATCTGGTTTTTGTCCTTATAGTTTTGACATTTCCAGAAAGCCAACTAAATGTAATCACACACTATGTAGCCTTTTAAGAGTGACTTCTTTCACTTAGCATAATTCATTTGAGGTGAATCCATTATACAGGCTTTATAGTTTCAAAAAAATGTTGGCACATATTGTTGGTGCCTGGCCCCATATCCTGTTGGCACTCACTGTTCTAATAGAGCCCAGTAACTTTCCTCAGCAAGCTCCTGAATAGCCTCTGCCAGCAGGGTTCTCTGGCTCCAGGAGTGGGGATTCAACCATGCACAGGGAGTTAACACCCAGTCGTGGGTGGAAATTGATGGCTAAATGCCTCAGCTTCCTTGTGCTCTGGGTGGGACAGCTCTGAGGTGGTATCTCCCAGCTTCCCAGCGGGGTTGAGCCCAGCTCCCCACAGTGGCCCCTTACCCTTTTAACACCCCCAGACATTTGCTTTCTTCTCCTCCCACTCTACTATCAGGGTTTCCTGGGATCACCCCTCTAGGAAATATTCAATTTTAGTTTCAGTCGGGTTCAAGAAGAACCCAACTTAAGACAAAAGTGTTATAATTTAATTTTATTTCAAGAGAAGAAAAAAAAGTGGAACAGAGAGAATTATTGAACTTCATTGAATTTTTTTCTTCATTACTTGATATAGTCCTTTCTAAATCAAGTTCTTCCAAGTGTAAAGCATAATATGGGAAAAACAATAAGAGAGAGGTTAGTATCATTAGGTATATTTTAAACTCTGTTTTTCAATATTAGATGGTATGAATTCCCATTAAAAAAAAAGAAACAAGAGTAAAAAGAAATTAGCACTCTTATTCCTCTCATTTTAAAAAATTGGCTTTAGTATTATTTTTAACTTATCAAGGTTTATAGCATTTACATGATTCCCATAAGCTTAATGCCTGCATTTGTTCAGTCTTAGTTGTATATTTAAGAGCTTATCATCAATCCTTGTTGGTATAATTACTTTATACCTGGCTTTGTCACTCCCAAATTCTTTGTTTTGATACATCTCTCTGTTGGTTGAGTTGGATGATTATATTAGTCAGAATAGGTCAGATTATGCTGTTGTAACAAACACTCCCCCAAAGCTCAGTGATTTAGCCAGCAAATGTAGATTTCTGTCTTAGGCTTCATATCTAGTATATGCCATCAGGAGAGCTCTGTCCGTTGTAATCACTCATAGTTAGGTAGATGGAAATTCTCTTTCAATACATGCTTGGGGTGCCTGGCTGACTCAGTCAGAAGAGCATGTGACTCTTGATCTCAGGGTCATGAGTTTGAGCCCCATGTTGGGTGTAGAGATTACTTAACTAAATAAAACTTAAAAAAAAAAGTTTCCATGAGTACCACAGCAGTGGCAAGGTGCCATGGTGAATTACACACTGTATTTCGAAGCCTCTACCCAGAGTGATATATTCCACTTACGCTCACATTTCGCTGAACAAAGCAACATTTGTTCACATTTCATTGTGAACAAAACAACAAAGCAAATTACATGGTCATACCTAACTTCGAAGGGTCAAGGACTCTTCTGAACTCAGAAGAAGCAGAAATTTTTGGTGACAGCACTAATCAAGACTGCAGTCATCAACTTGGTTCAATGCTTTTTTCCTGGATGCCTCACAGGTGTTACATTTCCTAAGTTCATAATATGATTGGGATATTTCCATGGTGGTCTGTTTAACTCTTTCTAGCTCTGCTTCTCTAGTTGTCCCCAAGGAGAGCCAACTGGCTGGCCCAAAGATTTAAATAGCTCCATCTCCCTAGGTCTCAGGTTCTGACCATCCAGAGCCCTTCCCTTGCTCCCTCCTGTACAGCCCATCCTTGGATTAATTCCCTACTGAGATAGGCATGAGATCTAGAAGTCAATCATTTTCTTTTCTTAAGATTTTATTTATTGGGCGCCTGGGTGGCTCAGTTGGTTAAGCGTCTGCCTTTGGCTCAGGTCATGATCCCAGGGTCCTGGGATCGAGTCCCGCATCGGGCTCCCTGCTCCTTGGGAGCCTGCTTCTCCCTCTGCCTCTCTCTCTCTCTCTTTCTCTCTGTCTTTCATGAATGGATAAATAAAATCTTTAAAAAAAAAGATTTTATTTATTTATTTTAGAGGGAAAGAGAGCATGTGCATACATGTGCAAACGTGGGGGGAGGTCGGCAGCGGGGGAGGGAGAGAGAATCTGAAGTAGACTTCACACTGAGCACCTGAGCCTAAACCAAGAGTTAGATGCTTAACCGACTGAGCCACCCAGGTACCCCAAAGTCATTCATTTTCTAAAAAAGAGCTGGTTGGCTCTAGGGAAAGGAAAATGGGAAGTAGCTTTGTTCTTCACTCTATTTCTACACACCACCCACACTGCTGAAATTTGTCCCTTTAATCAGGTTGATGTCTAGGATCATGTGGGAAGATTAGGGAGCTGAGAAACTTGGAGGAGACAGGCTTCCAAGATTAAGGAGCATCTACAGAGGGACCCTAGCACAGATATTGAAAACCAGGGTAGATGCTCCTTGTGTAGTGTAACTGGAAGGACACTGAGGATGAACCCTGTTCCCCACGATTTTCTCTACAGACACTAAGAATGCTCCCCATCAGCCATTCATTCTCTTGTGTTGATTTTAGTTTTTCTCATAAATAAAATTACTGACCCAAATCCTTCACCTTCTCCCTGTATTTTCCACCTTTGTCAGGTGATTTTGCAGTCCCTCCCACTAGAGGCAGAGTAACTCCCAGTCCCTTGACTTAGACTTGACCATGATTTGCTTTGGCCAATAGTACAAGTTTGAAATGACAGCATGCCAGTTCTGAGCTTCATTGTGCATTTCCATTTTCTCTCTCATATCTCGATCAATGTTGAGAGAAGAGCTAGCTCCTTGGATAACTGCTGCACCTTCAGGGTCCTAGAATAAACCCCAGTGAAACTGATCTGACCCAATTTGCAGCAAGGACCCAAGGCCAGCCAAACCTGCAGCTTGATGCAAAGTTGCCCAGCAGAGCCCACCCTGGATCAGCCAACTCACAGATGTGTGAGTAGGAATAAAGGATTGCTATGCAAAGCCACTAATGTTTGGGACAGTTTGCTATGCAGCAATATCTGATACATTCCTTCTAGTCTAACATGTCCTTACCCTGCCAGACGGTGCTGCATTAAAACCCAACCAAACCTTTCAATGGAGCAGCAGTCCAGAGTGAGTGAAAGAATATTGCCTCTGAAGGCAGCCAGGCACAGGCACAGCCAGCTCTGCCAACCAGCACCTTATTCTGGGTAAGCTACTTAACTTCACTGAGCCTTGGTTTCTTCATCTGTAAAATGGGGCCAGGAAGGTAATTACCCTGCCTGGAAGCCTGGATTAATTGAAATAGTATATGTTAGATACGTGGTTCATAGTAGAATCTCTGTCTCTGTTCTTAAGGCTCTCCTCTGAGCCTGACCCCTGAGTGCTTGGTCATCTCGTGATACTTGGGAGAGAATTCATAGCTCTGAGATGGAAGGGAGCCCAGCTATCAGCTTATCCAATTCTGTTCCAGCAGACGAGTACAGGACACTGTACACTATACACTCTTTAGGGAGATGAGTGGGTAATAAAGGACAACCAGTACAAATCAGATTTTGACTGGGATCTTATAGGGTCACATCAATCCACTGATCCCCAAAGGCATTTTCAAGGACACTCAAGAGGGCACATGTGTCCTCAGCCAGGTCAAAGGCTCATCTTCTACTTGGCAGGACAGTTGTTTCAATGACTTGGGAAAGGATTGGTGCCTGAGAACATTTACCAGTTGTCATGGATTTGAGCAGCATGTTAAACGGGAGCCAACCATCTGCAAGGAAGAGGGGTTGAGTATTGACTCTTAGCCCAATATCTGTAGTTTGGGGGCATCTGTGAATCAATAAATGATTTCAGTTAGTATTTATGGAGCATTTAAACTTCCACACATGATTAGGTACTAAGGGAAAGGCAAAGGAAATAAGAACAAGTTTCTCTGGCTTTGAGCAGCTTACAGCTTAACAAGAGATGATTAGGAGAAGGGAGGAGAAAGCAGCCAAGGTGTTAGGAGGTATATC